GATACCTGCGGGCACCTCTTCAACTAGGTTCTCGGCTTCGGCTTGCGACCGGCTCATCACGAACACTCTTCCTTGAGGTGGTCCCGATTTTCCCGATTGCCCAAACGATTGCGGCCTTGCACTAGCATGGGAAGGGTGAGGTGCTCCTTGGCCGGTCCGGGATCTACATTCATAGGATTTGTGTCCTTTCCCTCCACACTTAAAGCATTACACCAAGTTCCGATCCCTTGACAATCCTTCCCAAAGTGGTCTTTGCCGCATCTTCTACAAAAGGTTGGTTTTCCTTTAGCCTCGTTGTTCGCCCTTACCGATCCGTGGGCTTGAGAATGAGCCACCCTACTACCACTTGAGATAAATAATTAATTCCGTTTAAGGGATAAATTTCCGGGGTGTCACAACTCTACCCACCCCAAATTGAATCACTGTCTTTTTTATTTTATATTGAGCCCATTTCCTAGATCCACCCCCTCGCGCAAATTATGTTATGGACTCGTGTCCACAATGCATTGTGGACATGAGTCCAAAACGACGTCGTTTTTAGGGAAAACGCGGCATTTCAGTTATGGAATTATAAATGTACAGTTATGGAATTATGAATGTAAGTTATGGAATTATGAACACAGAGCTCTAACATTATGAACTTACAATTATGAACATATAGTGATAAAATTATGAACATAGAGCTCTAAAATTGTGAACATAGAGCTTCGAAAATTATGAATGTACAGTTATGAGATTATGAATGTACAGTTAGGGAATTATGAATGTACAGTTATAGAATTATGAATGTGCAGTTATGGAATTATGAATGTACAGTTATGGAATTATGAACACAGAGCTCTGACATTATTGACTTACAATATGAACATATAGTGATAAAATTATGAACATAGACCTCTAAAAGTGTGAACATAGAGCTTCGAAAATTGTGAATTTACAGTTATTGAATTATGAATGTACAGTTACGGAATTATGAATGTACAGTTATGGAAGTATGAATGTACAGTTATGGAATTATGAACACAGAGCTCTGACATTATGAACTTACAATTATGAATACATAGTGATAAAATTATGAACATATACTCCTATAACAAAGCGATCTGAAAAAAAAAAAAAAAAAAAAAAAGTGGAAGATAACGGTGCCACTAACGGTACCGTTACCGTGTCTACAATGCATGCTGGAAACGGGTCCATAGCATAACGATTGACCCCTCCCCCCTCTAATACACACGATGAAGAATGTAGAGATAAAAAATAAGTATATTGGAACTATTCCATATTACTTCAGGACCCATTTCCTATATCCACCCCCATTCCACATTACTTCATGGCCCATTTCCTATATCCACCTCCTCCCCCTCCCCCTTAGGCCTTAACACACACGATGAAGAATGTAGAGCTAAAAAAATAAGTACATCAAAACTATTTCACATAACTTCAATTTTTTATAAGCGCCTAAAAAACTTTTTCAAAAAATTAAGAAAAAAAGTGTTAAATTGGCTCTATAATAGTGCAATTAGATCAACTAAGTGAAATAAAATTACTAAAGCTAAGAGACCAGAAGTTGCTTCTTCGATGGAGGATACCGCCCGCATTCGGGCAACGCAACTTACGGAGTTGTACTGTTACACCCGAATGGCTCTTTCAAGGCGGCAACAAATGGCAAACTCCCGGGTTGCTTCTCACCCCTTATGGCAGAGGCACTTGCATGTAAGGAAGCGTTATCATGGCTCAAGGAGCGTAACGAATTGGACGTGAATCTATTGACTGATTGTTTAGAACTCCGACACCATTTAGTGTCTAGTCCTAGGGACCATCCTATCCTATGTAGGGGTGGTGGAGATTAGAGAAGTCGATTCTTTGATACCAGATTAGAGAAGTCGATTCGATCATTAACAGAACAATAGGAATTACAGAGATATATCAGATATCAAACTCTAACCTATACCTGACTAATAGCATCACAGTATAACTACTGAAGACTAGTCTAACACCACATAAATACAACCATATAATATGCAATAATAATATGGAAAATAACAACTATACTAACAGTGGAGGATCAATGCCGGGCGATTATAGCCCTTTTTTCATATTGCTCTTTAAATGTTATTTCTAGATTAGTTAATGTTAATGATCATACTTTAGCTACGTTAACTTCTTATCAGAATTACTCTATGTACTGGGACTATGTCCCCCTGATTGTTTGATTCCTTTCATTAATTAAAATATGTCATTGTTCTTTAATTTGACTTTCAAAAAAAAAGTGAAATAAAATTAAATGAGATCCTAGAAACCGATAAAATAGTGTAATTAGGATCTATTATGACTCATTTATCAGTTCCGCCTAGCACCACTCCACGTCTTTCCACTCCTAAACACTGCAATTTGGACTAGGAGTTGGAGACGTGGAGGGCGGGATATGCCAATAAATAAATTATTATTGGGTCAAATTTGTTACTATACTTTTTATGAATTTTATTACATCTTCTCTCAAATCTTATTTAAATTTACTCTATGATGTGACAGACGCTCATAAATTATTTTATTTGATGTGAATCCCTATAAAAATGTATACATCAAAAAATTAAGGGTGGAAAAAAAAATTGAAGTAGAAAATAAGAGTACATATAGGGAGTGTTTGGTAAATAGTTGTTAGCTGATTGGGTTAGAGTTTTTTGCACTTTTAGTCCCACGACTATAATGGCACTGGCAGAATTGATCCACGACTTTTGAACCTTGTAATTTTAGTCCACGACTATTGATTCTTTTGCAAAAATGGTCCTTCCGGCCACTTTTTCGTCAAAATTTCACCGGAAAAAAAAATTCTCTATTTTTAGTCGGGTTAAAATTGACATTTTACTTATCTCAAAAAATTAAAAGAAAAAATTGATATTTGACTACATACAATATTACTCGGCTACATACTACTGCCCCAGGCAGCAGAGTACATGTACTACTCCAATGCTGCTGCCGGATAACCCAACTAACCCGGGAAACGCCACGGCCACTCCGCCGCTTACTGACAGCCCTGCCTGCTCCAGGAACTCCGCCGCCTGGGGCAGTAGTATATATTGTATGTAGTCAAATATCAATTTTTTTCTTTTAATTTTTTGAGACAAGTAAAATGGCAATTTTAACCCGGGGCTAAAAATGGAAATTTTTTTTCCGGTGAAATTTTGACGGAAAAGTGGCCGAAAGGACCATTTTTGCAAAAAAATCAATAGTCGTGGACTAAAATTGCAAGGTTCAAAAGTCGTGGATCAATTCTGCCAGTACCACTATAGTCGTGGGACTAAAAGTGCAAAAAACTCGATTGGGTTAGTAGATTTGACTAGTTGATAGCATTAGCTATTATAGAAAGGTGTTTGGTAAATTAGCTCATAGCTAATTACATACAAAATGACTTTTTCAAAAAGTTAATCGAAAAAAACTGTTTTGAGTAGCTTTTTGAATTTTAATGTTTTAGAGCAATAAATTGTTACAAAAAATTAATTAATCAAACACTCATATCAATTATTTAACCAAATCAAATAGCTAATAGTGGTCAAACAAGTCAAAACGGATTGATAGATTAACTATTTTATTAAATAGGCGACACTATTTTCGTTTACAAAACTAAAAACAAAAAGAATAAATCGCACTATTGGGAGTTGGGACGCCATGGTACATGCCGATCTCATAGTCTCGTCGCTTGAATTTGGCTGCTATGCACAGTGCCACTGCCACAGCACAGAGACGCCAAAGCAAATGCCTAACTGACAGATTTTGAAAAAGACTAGAAGCACAATAATACGAGTTAATTACAATTTCCATCTTTAAGGGCAACTCCAACCCAATTCACAGTTTCACACCAAAACATCATATTTCTTCATCAGATATTACATTAGGAAAAATATTCTTAACATATTCTCACACCAAATTTTATTTATCTCCAACTCCCATTTACACCTAAACACCAAAGCACCAAAACACCAAATTTTTACACTAAAATAATTTGATTTCTCAATTATTAATTCGAATATAATTAGTTTAATATAATTTAGTTAGAACTTAATTAGTTTAATATAAAATATAACTTATGATGTAAATAATAATTTTTATTAATATTAATTTTTTTATAACACTAATTAATTTAAAAAATTAAATTTAACAATATTTTTGAAAATTTAATTTATTCCAATAATAATATAGCATACAACATCTAGTACATTTAATTATCAAAATTATTATATCGTTCCCACAAATGCTCAATCAATGCATTACGGAATGCATAATGAGCTTCTTTATCTTTAATTTGTCTATACCAAACAAGAAATTCTTAAAATATAATACTTCCATCTCTAGCTATATATCAACTTCAGGAGTCGGTGCTTCCTTCCAACCTTGTATATCTACTTGCTCATCACGTTCATCCTCAATGATCATATTGTGCATTATAATGCACGATGATATTATATCATGCAATACACATTTATCCCAAAAACGTACCGATCCCTTGACTATTGCAAATCGTGATTGGAAAACTCTAAATGCACGTTCTACGTCTTTTCTACACAATTCTTGCAACAACACAAATAACTTATTTTTTGGCCCTCAAGGTTCATGAATTGTTTGTACCAATGTGGACCATTTTGGATATATACCATCGGTTAAATAATATCATGTGTTGTAATCCTGTCCTTGAATAACATAATGACAAGGAGGTGCTACACCGTTTGCAAGATTTGCAAACAAATGAGATGCCTCTAAGACATTAATGTCATTATTAGACCCCGACATGCCAAAATGTGCATTTCAAATCCACAAATCATAATCAGCTACAACTTCAAGAATAATAGTTGGTTCTCTACTTCGCCTAGCATATTGTCCAACCCAGCCAGTTGGACAATTTTTCCAAGTCCAGTGCATGCAATCTAAACTCCCAAGAATCCCTAGAAAATCACGTTTTTCGCCAATTTGAAGCAACCGTGCAACATCATTAGCATCGGGTGTTCTTAGATATCGCTCCCCAAAGACCTCTTCAATCGCTCGACAGAATCAATTGCAGTTGATTCTCCAATCTGGATATATTCATCTGCTGCATCTGCTGGTATTCCGTACGTCAAAATTCGAAACGCCTCTATAACTTTTTGTAAAGTAGATAAGCCCAGTTTACCGATTCTATCATTCCATTGCACAAAATAGTTGTCATGGCCTTTAACAGCATTCACAATTCATAGGAACAAATTTCGACTCATTCAAAATAATCGTTTACGAAATATTGCTTAAGAATATTTTGGATACTCTGAAAAATAATCATTCCATAATCTTCGATCTGCTTCTTCACGATCACGATGAATTACTCTATGACCAAAAGTCGAACCTCCATGCCTTGGGGGTTGATTATCCATATTTTCCATGTAGGAAGCTATGGCAAGGTTGTAGCTAGTATATGCATTGGTTAATAACTGTGTTTGTGCTCGTATTGCACTTGCGAGATTGTGCTCAAAATCCGATGACGATGATGAGGATGATGATGAAGAAAATAGCATAGGACGTTTTCCAGTGTTGGAATTCATATTTGAATTCGTATGTTTAGAGATAGATGATAAGGGGATGAATGCTCAATTTGTTGGTGATGCAGAACGTTTTTATAGGGATGATTTGAATTGTTTAGAACCATTAGATTAGATCGCGAAGATCACATCCGTTCATTGGTATGCTTGTCATTTCCCACACATATTTCTATAAAAGATATCACATGCATCTTTGAATCAACTTTTATCTGAATTGTTTAGAACCGTTAAATTAGATCGTGAAGATCACATCCGTTCATTGGTATGCTTGTCCTTTTCTACACATATTTCAATAAAAGATATCACATGCATCTTTGAATCAACATTTATCTGAATTGTTTAGAACTGTTATATTAGATCACGAAGATGATCACATCCGTTCATTGGTATGCTTGTCCTTTTCTGCACATATTCCAATAAAAGATATCACATGCATCTTTAAATCAACTTTTTTCTTAATTGTTTAGAACCGTTAGATTAGATCGCGAAGATCACATCCGTTCATTGATATACTTGTCCTTTTCCACACATATTTCAATAATAGATACCACATGCATTTTTGAATCAGCTTTTATCTGAATTGTTTAGAACCGTTAGATTGGATCGCGAAGATCACATCCGTTCATTGGTATGCTTGTCCTTTCCACAAATATTCGAATATAAAAGATATCACATGCATCTTTGAATCAACTTTTATCTGAATTGTTTAGAACTGTTAGATTAGATCGCGAAGATCACATCCGTTCATTGGTATGCTTGTCCTTTTCTGCACATATTCCAATAAAAGATATCACATGTATCTTTAAATCAACTTTTATCTTAATTGTTTAGAACCGTTAGATTAGATCGCGAAGATCACATCCGTTCATTGATATACTTGTCCTTTTCCACACATATTTCAATAATAGATACCACATGCATTTTTGAATCAGCTTTTATCTGAATTGTTTAGAACCGTTAAATTGGATCGCGAAGATCACATCCGTTCATTGGTATGCTTGTCCCTTTTCCACAAATATTCGAATATAAAAGATATCACATGCATCGGTGATTTAGCTTTTATCTGAATTGTTTATAACTGTTATATTAGATCGCGAAGATCACATCTGTTATTCTTGTCCTTTTGCAATATTAACAATATTGGCATATTGCAGAAATCTTTGAGACCGAAAGCAAATCTAGGCATTTGAACGTACTGCCTAGCAGAGCAGAGGACTTTGTAATAAAAATAAGTGTTGAAATTCTTTTCATCATAGATAGTTGCTGTTAAGAACATTACTATACCATGATGACATAGAAAGATTATAAACCTTAGTACCTTACTATTGCTAATGTACAGAAATTGTTTGCATAGATTATTTTATTTATCTATGATTGGGAAAGAATTTATATATCTTCTAGAAGGCAGAATGGGGTGGTTTCTCCAAATCCTCAAGGGGACGGAAGAAGGCTTTCACCTCCAAGACTGAGTGAGCAGCCCCTGCAGCTACGGTGTGGAAGTCAGCAGCAGTGAGAGTGTGATTGGTGGGTGGTCCAAACACTCCAGTCTCTGGGTGAGGAGTCCAGTAGTTGCCAGATTGGGTTTGGATTACTTCGTCCGGGACAATTGATGGATAATGAACATGTTCTTCCGGGTTCTTGTCATACACAGACACATGTACAGCCCTCCTGCACAAACAAGAAAATTATATTGTTGGGCGGAGGTCTGGTCAAATTCAAACATTGACGGCTAACAGACTGTTGGGCACAGAAAGAAAGTGAAGGACTGAGTTCAATACTCTGTCTCTTGAACAGTATATAAAGAAATAGAGTTACGCATTCTCTGTGAGCCAGCCAGTGCTCGATCCTAATATTAATAATCATAAACTCATAGACTACATCATCTTTTTGCCTGCCTCTAAACATGTATTACAGACAATCAAATACATAACAGAAGTATATACCTAGCAGAGATGGTGGAAGGAGAGAAGGCAGGGTTGCGAGTGCTGGAGCCTACGAAGCTCAGAAATCGCTTAGCAAATCGGCGGCACGGCAAATTGGCGGCCATACAATACAGATTTATTGGAGATAGATACAGAAGATGAAGAGCTTCGTTGTAGAGAGAGAAAATCCAAAGCAACTAAATAAACACACGAAACTTGCTAGAAACTCCCTCCCTTTTATAGTATGTTAGTTTGGGACGAAGATAGTAAGATGGTTGCCCGCCCAATCCACAGTCAGCACCTACTCAGCTGTCGATCCAAAAGTTGAATCGCTTTCAAGACGGTCCAAAACGCCGTCAACTTCGGAGTTCGGATAGATTTTATATTATTCTTGGTCATATCATACGTGTGATTCAATAGTCTACCAGTAAGATTCCAAGTTTATCCTAATTTGCCTCCTTAAAAAATTAGAAGGTGTGCTTTGTGCAAGGTGCACCACTAACAACTTTTCCACATGTTTCTCGCAGTTGGAGTGCCAATAATAATATAAATAATTCTCACCTAAACACTGCAAATTAGACTGGGAGTTGGAGGGCGGGATGCGCCAAATAATAAATTATTATTAGAGGTCAAATTTGTTATCCTATTCGTATTTTTATAAGTTCTACTACATATATTCTCAAATCTTATTTAAATTTACTCTTTAATATAACGGATGTTGATAAAATATTTTTTTTAATTAATTACTTTTCGCGATATATACCTTATGGGAAAAAGGTGTCGTGAAAAGTGAATATTATTAATACAATCCGTGACACCCTCTTGGAAAGAGGGGTGTCGTGGAAAAAAATTTATATATATATACTAGTATGATACCCGTGCGATGCACGGCCTATAAATTTGTAATAGTTAATGTTAAAGTATATTATGTATATAGTAAATAATAGAATTGACACCTACATATGTTCATATGGAAATAATTATTATATAAATAAATATACTGCAAGTGGCTTATGGTTTACTGGTATCCGATTGTTCCCCTAAGTGGGAGGTGGATAGGTTCGAGCCTCATTGAAGGCAAGTAGTAGTTTGGGTTGGGTTATCCCCCTTCCATTGTAAACAAAAAAAAAAAAAATAGAATTGACACTTACATACGTCCATATGGAAATAATTATTATATATAAATAAATATACTGCAATTCCGTTAAGAATTTTAAAATGATTTAGCAGAATTGAAGTTATGAAATTTGATAAAATTAATTATAATATTAAATTTGGTAAATTGGATCCAATCTGCAATGATAAGGTTATCTCATATTTGAAATGATTTTGCTTTTAAAAATGATATAAATTTAGTTATCTCATATTTGGAATGATTTTCAATAAATATTTGATTTTATTTTACATCAAGATAAATTAAAATAATTTATAATTATTTTACCAATTTTGTTTATATAAAATATTCAATATTGGTCATATTTGGAATAATTTTGAATAATATTTGATTTTATTTTATATCGTGGTTTTCGCAAAAATTTATAATTGCAGTGTTGATAAAATAAGTTAGTTGTTACATAAATACTGCAATTCCGTTAAGAATTTTAAAATGATTTAGCAGAATTGAAGTTATGAAATTGGATGAAATTAATTAATTATTATAATATTAAATTTTGTAAATTGGATCCAATCCGCAATGATAAGGTTATCTCATATTTGAAATGATTTTGCTTTTAAAAATGATATAAATTTAGTTATCTCATATTTGGAATGATTTTTAATAAATATTTGATTTTATTTTACATCAAGATAAATTTAAATAATTTACCGATTTGGTTCATATAAAATATTCAATATTGGTCATATTTGAAATGATTTTGAAAAATATTTGATTTTATTTTACATCGTGGTGTTCGCAGAAATTTATAATTGCACTGTTGATGAAATGAGTTAATTGTTACATAAATACTGCAAATTGGAAAATGTTTTTATTTTTGTTATTTTGTATTATTAATTGTTAACAACTCTACTGATCAGTATCTTCTGTATGGAGATAGTTTTCATTTTTATTTATCTTGTGTTTTCTTGATTTTCATATGTTAATTGTGCAGAGATGGATGCACAATTATATAAGCAAGGAAATTGTCCTCATTTCATGTATTCTTATAATCTGCAATCAGTCAATCATATTGTATGTGGAATAGGTATGTTGTATATTTTTGTTTATTATGTTCGATGGTGCTTGTTTTGTTCTACATAGCTAATTGATTTATAGCTTAAAATAAGGTTGTTAATTGAACCAATTGTCCATGTATAATAATTAATAAATCTTATACTAAAATATAATATATTGGAATAAAAAAATTAAATGCAACATTTAACAATAGAATAAATCATTGTGTATAAAACACAAATCTAAACCCAAACATTATTCAAGAATATTATTCAACACTATTCGAGAACATCAACAAAAAACCCCAAATACTTAACAAAAAAAAAAATACAACTTAAAAAAATTTCTCATAAAAAATCCATAAATAGTCCACCAATTAAACCCAAAACTTATGCAATTTCAAGGTTTCTCTAACTTCACAATGGATTTGGCCTTCTTCCCCACATTTGATGAAAATGAATCATCTAGTTTACGTTTAACGCTATGATTGGAAGATCCAGATTCAATTATTTTAATTTCAGCATCTTGTTGGGGTTGTTCTTTTACTGGTGTGGTGACCTCACCCCCAGAAGATAAATTCCTTAAAAAAACAAAACAAAAAGTGTACATAATTCTTTATTGACTAATATTTACGAAGTTAGAAGAATAAATATAAAAATAGTTTATTAAATTACAAAGAGAAATTACCTCAACACTGTTAACTTGTCCAAGTTGTAAGGTGGAAAATGCATCTGAATAATATAGAATAAAAGTACATATATTATTTACTTTTTATTATTTAAAAGTAATAAACTATAAACTATTAAAATTTAAATAATTGAAATTTTTATATATTTTCAACTTGGTTCTCTAGCATCACACTATCTCGAACTTTTGAAATAAGTCCTGGTTCACGACAAAGTTTCATCACAGACAAAGATTCATACATATTTAATATGTTCTCTGGCTTTACTTGAATCTTAAACATAACGTGTTGGTCAACTATATCATCCATTTCAGGTGGGAATGAATTCCTTTCGTTATAAACAATAAAGAGTATTCAATTATTACAAAATGAATAAAAAAATTAGTATATATATATATATATATATATATATATATATATATATAATAAAAGAAGCATAATATAATACAAAAATTATTTCTAACCTCAACATAAGTTTTTTTTTTTTTTTTTTTTTTTTTTTTAATTCTGATGGGGATTTTCCAAACAACTAAGTACATTCACGATCTCATAATTGGAACGATGCATTTCCACGACCATCAGAAACCCTTATGGTAACTTTATATTTAAAGGTACCATTGGGGCAATATTACAAATACACCAAATTTTCAATGATCATATAGTTTTTTTTTTTTTTTCTTTAAAGTAATAGTGCATCAAAAAAATATAGATTTTAATAATTTTTTTCAAACAATGTGGTGATATGTTTATTTTTCATACTGTTTGATGGAAAAGTATAAAAAATTAAAGAATTAATATATGCCTATTAAGGAATTTCAATATGCCAATACATTTACATAATTAAGATATTATTATGCCAAAAGAATACCAAATGTAACTAACAACATATACCTCCACATCTTCAAGGACAGATTCTAAGGTTGTTCCGTGGTTATTCTTGACTTCGTAGAGACGAATCAATCGTACTTTTATTGCCCACGTAGCACTGTAGGCGTTTATTTTATTCAATAAAACAAAAGTAGGAGCTATTATATTATATGTAGATTATTTTATATGAAGAATATGTATCTGAACCAGTGAGATTCAATGAAATATATGAAATTCGTAGTGGTAATACATTTCTTGAAATGCTTGATTTATATAGTGGTAGTGGTAGAATAATTGAAGTTAGGAAATTTGATGAAATTAATTATTATAATATTATGTTTGGTAAATTGGCAATGATTTTTTGTATAATTGATTTAGCATTTTTGAAATTATGTATTATTATGTATATAATGTATATGTAAAATAAATTAATTATTATAATATTATATTTGATAAATTGACAATGATTTTTGTACAATTGATTTAGCATTTTTGTAATTATGTATTATGTATATAATGTATATAAAGTATATGTAAAATAAATTAGAAGAATTGAAAGAATTGAACTAATTTGAATTTTTTAAATAACAAATAAGGAGAAATGAAATTAATTATTATAATATTATATTTGGTAAATTGACAATGATTTTTGTATAATTGATCCAGCATTTTTGTAATTATGTATATAAAGTATATGTAAAATAAATTAGCAAAATTGAAAGAATTGAAATTGATGGTAGTGGTAGCATAATTGAAGTTAGGAAATTTGATGAAATTAATTATTATTATTATTATTATTATTATATTATTATTATATTTGGTAAATTGGCAATTATTTTTGTATAATTAATTTAGCATTTTGTAATTATGTATTATGTATATAATGTATATAAAGTATATGTAAAATAAATAAATAAATTATTATAAATTTTAATTATTTTTTTTGGGGGGGGGGGGGATATTTGGCCATCATTTTGCTTTAATATATATAGAGATAGATATAAATAAATAAATAAATAAATAAATAAATAAATATATACATATATATATATATATATATATATATATATATATATATATATGTATATATATATATGTATATATTTATTTATTTATTTATATATTTTTATTTATTTTTATTATAAGGAAGGGGGATACCCTACATATACACACTATTTGCCTTGAGGTTCAAATCTTACACCTCTCACTTAAGAGAGCAACCCGATACCAGTGGACTACAAGCCATTTGTTTATATTTTTTTATTTAATAGAATCCGATCAACATTTACGTAAATATTGTCAATCTAAAAATCAATTTCAATTAAATCATCAATAAATAAAATTTTTACATAAACATTGTACTCAAAAGAGGAATCACAGTGAAACCACACTCAATTAATGAGCAAGCAAAACCATAAGTTTCTCCATTCACTAAAACAAAATAAAAAAAATCAAGAAAAAGCAGAAATTGAACGTGGTTTCTCCATTCACCAAAAAAAAAAAAA